AATACTGAATTTTAATGCCTTATATTTAGAAATTCATGATTGCAAAATCAAATATGTCTAATTTTCGGGAAAAGTATAAAAGTTTGACCGTTTATTTTTCCTAAAAGTAAATTAGTATTTATGAAATTGATTACATTTAACACGTAAACTTTATATAAATATATTCTTAGAAAACACAAGGGAATATATATAAGGGGGGGGGGAACATGAGGGAAAGGGTTAAATTCTGAATATATGAATATATATCAGGGGGGGAACATCAGGGAAAGGGTTAAATTCTAAATATATATGGGGGGACATGAGGGAAAGGGTTAAATTCTGAATATATATCAGAAGGGGGCCATGAGGGAAAGGGTTAAAATCTGAATATATATCAGGGGGGAACATGAGGGAAAGGGTTAAATTCTGAATATATATCAATATATATCAATAGGCCTACTCTGCGTACATATGGAAACCAGTTCTCTCTGGGCGGAATTTGTAAACAAGAATCGTTTAGTACCCGAGGAGGTTAAAAGCATTAAATTTTGATAATTTTTATAATTTACATAATATTTTCCGATGACCAGAATATTTCATTGATTTTTTTATGTGAAAGATGGATCCCATGTCAGGCTTCGACATCCGTCTTGTGTTTACATTAACGCCCAGAGACAGTACACTGCAGTACAAAAGATGCGTATACTTCTGAAATAACTTTCCTTGCATTAAACCTTGTACCACCGTATCTTGATATATAAAGTTTAATCTCTGTTTGTCTGCTTGTTTCTTTGTCCGATCATAATTTATGAACCACTCGATCGATTTGCCTAAAAATTGATTGGGGAACATTGGAGAACCATGGGAATGTTCTTAATTTGTTTTCGAGATTCTAAGTATGAATACCTTGGGCAACGCTGGGTTCTTAAGCTAGTATATAAATAAAGTAGTAATATCTGGTTTTGTTTGTTTGTTTGTCCGATTATAAATCATAACATTTAAAGCCAAAATTTAGTTCACAGGCAATGCTGAGTTTCTAATCTATAGTCTTGTACAAGGATGGGTGATAAGTTTAACTTTAGCAGGTTTTACTGTTAAATGTCAGTTTTTGGAACCAGTTTTGTAGAATTTGTATTTCTAGACGTACTAAAAGTTAAAACTTATAATTGGATGGTGACAATATAACTTCATTTTATAATTTCTACATACATACATGATGTAAACTTTGCTAGATTTCATTACATGTTAAGAATTCTGCTAAAATAGCTTAAAGTAGCATTAAGTAGGATTAAAAAGCATAAAATAGCTTAAACTAATTAGTTTTTAATAACCCAACTGTAGTTAAACTACTAGAGAGTAAATAGTAAAACAGATTTTATAGAGAATGTATTAAACTTTTATAGGTTTTACCATCAAGCTTACGGCTTCCTCACCTATTTTATTAGTTCTTTTTAATCTTTTTTATGTAAATTAATATTCATTTTTTTTCATTTCATTTTTTCCGTCAGAATATAAAAACTACACTTGCAAGATTGAAAGACTAGAATGTTATGGAAAGTGTAGCTCCGATGATAACAGTCACAAAGTTCTAAAGTCTTCGTCTGGTCAAGGATGAATGATATATTCATATTTTACTGGCTTAAAGTTTATTATTTTCAATTATGGGATTCATGCAACATAGAATATGAAGGAAATTTTCAGACTTGAACACGTTTTAAGAAAGAAAAGCCAAAATCTTCTTTAATTTTAATCTAGATGAAGGTATAAAGGGTACCATGGTGAGTAGTTCACTCTCCACTAAACACTACTATCTCTTCGGTCAGTGTACTGCAAATTACTGCAGAACGCACCGAAAGCTTAGTTGAGGGGGTGAGTCTATCGTCCGTTTAAGAAAGCCTTTAGATTGCATATAAAATCTCTTTTAACTGGTCGTTCGAAAGTAAGAACAATTAGTTAACATTGATTGATTGCACCTCCTGCCCTTCACAAGATATTCCTATTCCATTTTTTTCAATTTTCTTTTTTATCTTAGAAATATGTTTTCCTTATACGTCACAGTATATGTTTACACGATCCCTGCTCATGTCTCCTCACAAAGATCAAGATTGCATAAGTAGAACCATAAAATACTTTTAGACCCAAGTTAGGACTTAAAATAGACTAATGAACATGAAACAAAGCAATTGGTAAACAGACCCGTTTTACTAGATAAGAAAATTATAAGCTACTACAGTAAAACTTTTTTATTTGTAACACCATAAAATACACTTAATTATTGCTTTCATGTCGTCTTCCCATTCCACAGTTTTCTGCTTCTCACTGTATGAAAAGTGATACTTTGAGGGCCATTTGTTTAACTTCACTACCTCACCAATATCTTTTGTAGCCGAAGATATGTATATATTGAAACTATACAGAAAAGGTTTTAAACTTTAGTTTACAAGGTAAGTAATTGGCGAAATTTTCATTTATTTTTGCAACCTTTGGATCAATGTATCATAATTCTTTAATGCTCCTTTCAGTTTGAACCAACAAAATCAACTTCGAAAAATTAGAAAAGTTTCAAATCCTGGAGTTTCTGGAACTTATTATCAATCAATTAATCTTTATGCTTAGGGACATTATTTTATTGATACCCTCCCCCAATATCTAGAGTATTGCCCGGGGACATTAATTTCCATAATATCCTCCCTCAAATACCGAGGCGGAGTAGTAAGAATATTTATGTTCCGCTTTATTTTTTATATCTTTGAAAGAATTTTTTTGCGAAAAACGTCATAAGATTTGATTTTAATGTTTCTTTTTATAAAAAAATATTAATCAGCCATAATACTAAACAATCGAACAATTTCATCAACTTATCAATATTAATTAAATAGCATTCTGTTTTGAAACTTGTTTGAAACTAAAATATGGAGATATTTGGACAGTTTGTGAAATCAGCTAGTTCTCTTAGTTTCAGACCAGAACCAAAATAAGATAAAATTTTAGCAGATTAAGAGGAATACAAATTTTATTTTACAGAAAATGTAGAATCCTTTAAATTTTTTAGAATTTTCATAATTTTTCCTCTCTGCCCCTCAGACCATTTTGTCGGACTAAACCAATCATAAGCAAAGTTATACTTCAGGGTTTTTTTACCAAAAAAAAACTCTTGCAAACAAGGTTTTATCTATTTTCCTCGCCGATTTTTTTTTGTCGAAAAAAATTGAATCTTCAAAAAATACAAATTTCAACGTACGTGCATCTACTGAAATTTAACTGAATTAAAGAATTGTACAGTTCAGATACAGATACTCACATTTTTGCAATAAATTTTACGCAAGCAAAAAATGACAAAAATTAATTTTTCTCTCATTCGATTTTTTCTTTAAAGTTTAAAATAGTGTTTTGTGAAAAAGTACAATTTTTATGTTGTTATTGTTGTGCATTTGTTTGAAAACATTCAGATATATTTTTCGAAAAATACGTATAATCAGGTTTCAGTAAGATATTTAAAATAAATTTATGCTTTAGGCCAATTTTGGGAATATGTTTATTTTCATAAAGTTTTTATTAGTATTTTTTATGTATGTTTCGGGTTAACTCGTCTGCTGATGTTGCATCAAGGTCCGACCGCGTAGAGTCTAGACCAGCTGCCTCCAACTCCACAGAGCTGTCTGGAGAACTAGAAACCCAGGTTTGCAAATTTCCTTGTTTTGTACACCATGAGTAATCTCCAGAAAATATGATGTTAGATGATTTCCCAAATCATAATTTTCCAAATAGAGTCTCTTTCCAAAATATAGAATTTCGCACCTTTAAACTTCCCGCATTTGCATTTTCCCAAGTTGTACTTTCCCTAATATATCTCATAATATAGCCGGGAAGCGATCGGCCTACATTTGTGTAGCATTGCTGCTCGTGTACAATGTACATAGACTTTAATATGTTTTAGCTAAATAAATATAACCTTTTCCGAACAGGAAAATTCTTTCCTATTTGCATCCCCTTGGAAAAATATACTTTTTAAAAACGACCTTTTGGAATTAGCCACCTGAAAAACTTCTTCAATTGTAAAAAGAGAATGTACAGTGAGACCCAAAAAAACTATGGAGTAAAAAGACGACAATTCAGCAGCTGTTTAATAGATATTGTTAAAATGTGAATGGTTACATGTTAGCTAATTTCAAAATCCCCTTACAGTAAAGGGTTATGTAATACTTGCTATTTTCATGTTCATTACAATGTTTTAAATCATATAGCAAACAGAGAAAATAGTAGAAAATCTATTTCAGGCGCGCATTAAGTTGAATTTCACAATGATATGTATTAAGTTAAATTTCACAATGTTGTGTATTTTACAATTTTTGTTAGATTCGTCAAATCTATAACACTTCAACCAAAACTGTTAGATACCATAATAAAATCAAAGTTGCCATAAAAAAATAAAGTTTTGAGGGGGAAGGGGTGTTAGAAGAAGGGAACAAAGCAAAGGGGCATATTCTCGAAGTTGTCAGGGGGCTTTAGTCTCCAGTGGGGTGGATGAATCCACCTGAATATTATATTTTAACCTATCCAGGTCATCCAGGGGGATTCCCTGCCCCCTACAGCCCCTCAACCCCCGTACATGCCTAAGACGTTTTGCCAAAAAAAACTGTTTTATACCTTTTCATAAAATATATATCAGGATATTTCATTTTCATATTTATAATGAAGTAAATATTACCATTTAATATTAGAATATTTATTTCGGGTGCATTATTTTATTTTATAAAAAATGTATAAAATGGTATTTATAATATAACAATTGTATAATGATCATCATCTCTTGTGACAATTGTCAGTGTCCTAATGATTGAAAACAAGAACAATAAATTAATATCTTAATTATATGCATAGGATTTTTGATGTATATATAAAAAAAACATATATATAAATGATTTTCTGTACGTACACTATGTATCACAAGTATTTTTAAGCTAAGGTACAGTGCAAATCCTGTGTCCAATGGGAATAGTGCCGGCCGGTGCCTCCCCCCCCCCTCTCCAGTATACCGGTGAGTTCATCCCCCCCTCACGTGGATCGGGCCTGGCTCTCTCTCTCTCCCCCTGTGACTGTACTTGTAGTGTCTCAGTCTATCTGCGCAAGCTCTCTGGATTCCATAATATATATACACACTAAAATAAGCTGCTGTTATACAGAGCAATATATTTACTAGAGATATTGCACAGACGCATATATACAGCTGTCCTTACACAACATATACAGCGACGTCAACATACGCCAACGTCACAGCAACTGTCATGCCAAATTACATCCCCTAAAGAATAGAATAATGTCGCTAGCAAGTGAGGATATCTGGCAAAAATTTGATCTGGCAAAGTCCGAGTTTATTAAAATGGAACAAGAAGAAATGAACACCGTGACAAACAATATTTATCAGATGATGAAACCAACAAAATCAACGGATAGTTTAGTTCCAGACATAGATATGTTGGCCTTCCCCAGTAACCTCGACGTGGACATCAATATGGACGGCGGGATTGACATGGACTTCGATAGTTTGTTAGAGGATATTCTTGGTTTTCAAGATAAACCACTCCGACACGACTGCATGTGGTCCGGAGATATGTCAGCCAATGACGAGAAATCTTTGATGCTTCTTAACACTAACTCCGAACCTAAAAACAAACCGGATATCGCTCCTAGTACGAGTATGAACCTTGGAAGTTTAACCAAGGACCTGGATTGTTTTGATACACCGCTGTCGTCGGAAACCAGCGACCTGGACGAAACTTCAAGTGATATCGATGGCGAGGTTGAGGTTGGAACCATCAACTCCAGGTTACAGGGTGTAAAGGATACCTTGAAATCTAACCAGGACATTACCTACTCTGACCACTGTTATATCGCCACTTCGAAGAAGAGAGATGTTATAAAGACCCGCGAAGAATCGTCCGACGATGACGATTCAAATTCCAGTCAACATATAAATCCATCGAATACCTTCCGAATACCCAACCACCCGGTCCGAGTCAGCCCAATACATACTAAACCCGTGAACAAACCAAAGTTTAAATTTCATATGAAGTTTAAATCGACGAGTTTGCAAAACTCTAGATCATTGCTTCGGCGGCCAAGACTCCAGTATCCTCGTCAAAGTGGATTCAAGCTTCCTGTTCTGCCTAACAAATCAAAATCTATTCAAGTAAGATGTAATTTATCTCCTTTTTCTAACTTTTTCCTTTTTTTTCATAATCTCGTTCCTTGCAGTCGATTCCTTTGGAGAAAGCACAGCTATTCTTCCAAAACTACATCCCCCCCCCACCTGGCTTTAAATTTTTTCTACCCTGTAATAAAAAATTAGTACAAAGGAATTGAGTCTTTTTCTCAAACTCAAATTTTTGAAAACCTGTTAGTGTAAAGTAATAATTTATTATGTAATCTAACCTAAATTATATAAAAAAATTGAAGGTCTACGACACTGGGTTTCAGAGATATAGGGATTAGAGATTCATAGTTTTGGGCAAAGGTTCGATATCCTTTTCTGTTAGTTTGAAATTCTTTATTTATTTTGTTCAAATGAATTAAAATTTAACATTTGTGAATAAGTATTAATCTTCAATTTTAGGAAGTATAGGATTAGGCAGGGGTTGGGGGAGGGAATGGTTAAGATTATCTTCANCCTCTTTCATTCATATAGATGCCTCTTTTATTCATAAAGATGCCTCTATTATTCATTTAGATGCCTCTTTTATTCATATAGATGCCTCTATTATTCATATAGATGCCTCTTTTATTCATTGATGCAACGATAAACCAAACTTTAATAACCTGAAACCTTTTTAGGTTTCCCACAATTTATTCTAAAGTGCTTAAGTTGCATTTCTATTTTGTTATTATTGTCCATAGTAAAATGTTTACTTGACGTACTCGCAAACTATTTCTTAAACATTTTACTATAAGTTTATCAGAATATCAAACGAAATTAATTATCATTGCTTTCTTGATAATCAAAAAGCCAGTTTGGAATTTCTTGTTGGTCGGTTTTGTCGTTACTTTTATAGCATAATTAAATGTATTAGAGTAAGTATCTAAGTATATTCCATTAAAGTTATGCATTAAGCTTTTTAAAGCATAATTAAATAACAAATTAGCTGATTAACTTGCTATAAAAGGTTGATAATTAAGGGTTTAATTCTACATAGGTTCAGTCTCGGGGTATATATTTTGTATCCCCTCCCTCTTAAATTATAGCGGAAACCTAGGAATAAGATTTTGTTTTTTTTTCACAAAATTTTTTACATTTTAAAGATAGAATGCATATGGAGAGAGGATATATAAAATGTATTTGGAGATTACTACAAGATTAAATTAAAGTAGCGTAAAGCGTAATATTTTTTTTCCTGTTTATGTCTTTTTATTTTTCATAAAAGATAATCAGATTGGATTTTAAACAAATACCCCCCCCCCCCCATCCCGGCCCCTGGCAGGGTGTATTAGACGTGCATGCAAGGTTGAGAAGAGGTGAATGAACGGCGAAAGAATTTGCAATCTTCTTGACCAATTGGGAGGGAGACGTGCAATCCTAAAAATAACATCAAAATTATTTTTATGTTTTTATTTCTTTGTTACTCCATTCTTCAGGGGCATTTCTTTAACAGGGCGCAAGGGGGGGGGGGGCTTAAGTAATACTTTGATTTCATTAAGAACTGAGATGAATATTATAAAATATTATAAAAAGTTTTGTAAGTAAAACTGTTTGCTAATTGGATTCGTTGAATGCCTTGAATAGCAAAGAAGCCTGACCGTTTTATCAATTTACATTTTGTCCTTGGGCTCTGCCCCCCCCCTCCCCTCCCCTCCTATGGGTAAGAACTAAGAGTACAAGGAGGGAGGGAACCCCACAGACGCCATGAGCCTCCGCTATGCAGACACAAGCCTCCCAGATTTGCGAGGCAGACCGAAACTCCACTATGCAGACCAAGCCTCCGCTATACAATAAAAGATCACCTCCCCCATACAGCACAGATTTTTTAAATTTTGTTATATATTGATTGTCATGATTAGAAACATATATAGACTCATAAAGTTGTCTATAATATTTATACTAAAACTTTGAAAATTTCTTACGCAGAAAGGAAGATATTTGGAGAAATATTTCTGGAGTAAACTTAGTTTGTTTTGTTGTAATCTTTGATTTAAACAAAACCTTTTTTTTGAAAATGTGAAGATTTAAATAAAAATACAAATTTTCGAGATTTAAATTGAACTACATATAAAGGTATCGCTTAAATCAAAGATCATTAAAGATGAAATTCAATTCAATTCAAATTTTTTTCTCTAAATATTTTACTTTTTGTGTAAAAAATGTTTAAAGTTTAATATACAACTTAAACTTAAAACACAAGTTTAAAAAAACCTCCTGTATTACACAGCTAGGCACATTTTATTGTATTGCGCATACTTATTACTGCATAGCTGAGGCTCGGTCTGTCTAACAAATCTTGGAGGCTCGTGTCTGCATAGCGGAGGCTCATGGCGTCCGCGAGTTCCCTCCTTCGTACAAGTCGATAAATGCGTAGTTGTGTATATTATTAGTCTGAGAGCTACGCAACAACTATATCAGCTGTTCCCTGCGTAAAACAATGCGTATAGTTCTCTATCTTCTTTTTTATATTTATTTGTCTATCTTTGACATGCAAAAAAAACGGCTGAGTCAAATGAGTCCATGTTTTGTGTGGGACTTGACATAGCCCCGTTAATGTTTTTTTCTTTATAGGAATATGCGGCCTTAGAAAATTTATCATAGAAAATGAGAAATCGGTCTAACTCCAATTTTCACATCCTGATATCTTCTCAAACTGATGGTGTTAACTTTCATGTTATCCAAGGTTTCACATCCTGATATCTTCTCAAACTGATGATGTTAACTTTCATGTTATCCAAGGTTTCACATCCTGATATCTTCTCAAACTGATGGTGTTAACTTTCATGTTATCCAAGTGTGTAATGCAAGGAAAGTTATTTGCGGTCGTGTGAACTCTGCGTACATATTGAAACCAGTTCTCTTTGGGCGGAATTTGTAAACAAGAATAGATACATCAGTGTTCGTCTCCGAGAAGGTTAAAAGCATTAAATTTTGATAATTTTGATAATTCACATAATAGTTTCCTATGACCAGGATATTTCACTGATTTTTATGTGAAAGATGGATCCCATGTCAGGCTTTGACATCCGTCTTGTGTTTACATTACCGCCCAGAGACAGTACAATGCCTTACAAAAGATGTGTACACCTCTGAAATAACTTTCCTTGCATTACATCCTTGATATTTCAAACTTTGACTACTTAATCTAACAGAATTTATAGTTTGAAATATCAAAGGTATAAGACATCAGATTGCAAAGATATAGGGATTAGAAAACCTGAATTTGTGGCAAAAACTCAGTTCCTTTTTACCAAGTTAAAATAAACAAAAATGCCTGTAATTAATATTCGTACTGTGAAAGAAGCTGCAGAATATCTCAAATTCATAGCTAAATAATTTTTTCCAAAACCTACTGAAATTTAATAAATAACCACATTGACGGGCTTGCCCTTTAAAAACATAAGATTTTATAATATATAAAATCAACTGTATTGCTGGCTTTCCATAGAAAAATTAAACAACAAAAGGAATTGATTAAAATTAATAGTCTTTGATTTTTCCTTTCGCAAATATCTTGATAAAGGTCCAGCTTTATTTGGGACAGATTTGGTTACTAAACATTACAATTTAGTTATGTTTGATATTATTTTAACGTAAACTCCCAATTACTTGTCCCCCCACCCACCCCTCCACCACAACACACCTGTGTCCGTTCATAATGTTTGTTTAAAATTGATTGATTTAAATTTACCTGAGATGTTTCGGCGCGAGAAAACTCATTTTTCACGCAGATGTAAGAAAACTGCTAGAGTCTGTTTATATGCTTGAAATAAAATTGTCAGGAAGAATTTCTTTAGTTTTGATTCAAAATACTAAAAAAACGGAATTAAAAGAACTGGACATTTCAAAAGAAAACAGAAGTTAGATTGTGTATGTTTTTCAATATGAAATTACTCTTATGTATTGTTTAATTACGTATTGAGACATTCAGTTATACAGGGGGCCATCTTGAAATAAGGGGTTATTCCTAGAATTAGAAGGATTATGGAGGGGGAGCAGAGACAACAGTTTAAATATAAATACAAAATTTGTGTTATCAAGAAACTAAAGTTATTTGGAGCCTGTCTTGAAATCCTACAGTTTTTATTAATGGTGAATTTCAATTTTTCATTTTATTTTGATTTATTTCTTTTGCTTGGGTTGAATTGCAATTGGAAGCCATGGGTTGGTTCAACTTGCCTTTCTCTTCTCAAGTTCCCTGCTAAAACACACAAATAAGATCATACTAAAAACTTTTATGTTTGTAGAACAATTGTTTTAATTATCACTGTGAACGATCAAGAAGAAATACTAAATCAAATTTAGCATACGAAAAGAAATATTAAAATAGGTTTAAACAAAAAATAAAAATCCTTAATCATCCCTTGAACAGAATACAGGATTTTTCTTACCGGTAGGGGTCGGATAGTCCTGTAGGCGGTCTGGGTTGCCCAAGATGGGGCTTCTTGCAGATCTCATCTCACATAATCACATAATGTAAACTTATTATCTTAAGGGACTGTAAGCGTAATTTTAATTGACCCTCCATGCAAATATGGCAATGCCCAATTTACTATGGTACCCTTGAAAGCTTTCACTGATCAAGTATAAATTGATGAATGTCTTTTTATCATGTGTATATGAAATCAATCCCCGTATGTCTTTATATCTAGCGTATGTTATTTCCAAACCTGTATTTATAAATATCCTGATGTATATCCACCCCTGTATGTATGTATATTGTATATCCTGTGGTGTCTATGTATATTTACCCCTATATGTATGTATATCCTGTGTATGTATATCCAGTATCCCCCCTGACCTGTGAAGGTCCTAAGACTGACAGACTGTCTAAACTCTGAATGATGGCGAACAATAATTAGCACTACTATTAGTTTCAGATTTACAATTTTTTCAACACAAAGTTTTCGCTTTGTGACTTCAGAACTCATTTGTTATGAGAGGTGTGTGTGTTGAGGGGGGGGGGTATATGCATTTCTCCTGCCTTCCTTCCTACTATTAAGTGGGGCAATTTTCTATATCACTGAAAGAGACTTGACATCATCAAACCTCAAAATATCCTTTCTTGTTCCACGTTTTTAATTATAGATTCAGCCAGCTTCTTTTAATAATATGTGTAAATGCATCGTGTTTTTTTTCAAGTCAATTTCCCGGGCAAAAATTTAAAGCATTTTTTCTTCTTAAAATATTGGACGTGTCTAGTTATTTCAGTTATGCGACAAAACTAATTAACCTCATCCGAGAATAAGAACCTAACTTTTTAGTTTTACAATTTCCCTTTTTCAGATAAGTCAGACCCGGGTGTCGAAGGAAGAAGACCGGAAGTGGATGGAGGCCAACCGGATGTTGTCAAAAAACGACGGGAAACCACGTGACGTAAGAGATCTTCATAACTCGTTAGAACGACAGCGACGAATTGACCTTAAGAACGCGTTTGACAGGCTCAAAAGTTCTGTCCCCGACTTGGCGGTCTGCGACAAAGCGTCAAAACTTCAGATCCTCATAAAGTCGGCAAACTACTGCCAGCGACTGGTCTCAGTCGAGGCGAAGCTCATACGTGACCTCGACACCCAGAGATCACGACATCAGACTCTGTCTAAAAAATTAAAAATGATGAGAAGTCGGAAATGAACATTCAATAGACAATCTTTGGTTGAATAGAACAGTAGATACAAGAGGAATCATTGGCTTTAAAAGCGGATTTTTTAGATGAAATTATGCAGAGAAAAATTACATTTACGGTTTATATACATATATATTAGGAGTACAGAGTGAAGTCCTGGACTTAAAAAATACATAGTTGTGCCTTGAAGCGCTTACAACCGCTTAGTTTAAGGGATGTTTTCAGCTCCGGGTTTTCTAGACTAGAATTATTCGGTGCTAAACATGTGAATATTTTCAGAAAAATGAGCTTCTCGTATATTTGGTCCGGTTTCATAACCATAGGGTTTCTCATTTTATATTATCTCGGCGCAAGGTTTTATTTTTAGGTTTTTTCCCCAAAGATTGATTTTTGTTCAAAGTTAAATTCTAGTTTGCGCGTAAGAATTTTTTCTTTTTTTATTGTATTCTGAAAAGAATCTGAGTTAGCAACTAACTGTTTTATAATTCTGTAAGGTTTTTCTAACTTTAATATTTACGGTATTTAAAGGTTTTGTGTGAAAGAGATTTGTATTACTAAGTTTGCCTGTATGTATTTTACACTGTAGGTTTAAGTTCCTTTAGTTACGAAAATTAAATGTAATCAATTAATATGCCAATTAAAAATACCAGCACCACTCCCCACCATTTCTTAATGAAGGGGGATTGGGATCTGCAAATTAATTGATTACCTTCTTTTGATCTCAGTAGTTTACATTTTGTATCATTTAGTAAGTACACTTTGCAGTGTACTGCATTATGTACTTTTTTACTGTTGAGTGTATCACTTGTCAATTCATGTACAGTACAACTAAATGTGTACTTTACAGTACAACTAAATGTGTACTTTACAGTACAACTAAATGTGTACTACATATAGATTTAAGCACACTATACATTGTACAACACATTTTATGCACACAAATACACAAATAGGATTTTTAGAAACTTTTATTGTTTTCTCATTTTCCGTCATCCTTGGATTTGAAAGGGTTTCTGCATCTATAAATAAACCCTTGGAAAGTCCACGGACATCGGAAATTTTATATTTTAATTCTAAATATTAAAAAAAATGTAAGAATTCTATCTTTAGGCGTAATTTTTTATTTAATCTTCAAGCAGATAAAATTGTGTTAAAAATGTAAATTTTGAGGTTAACTTTTATAACTCTAATCCTATTTTTTAGTTTTTTTTTCCTTAAGAGCTTGAAGTTTCCATAGACTTAACTACTATTTAAATCTGTTATCAAGACTTAAAGGTTTCAGTTACTAAGATCTCGATTTGAGTTACAAAGATCACATCGTTCTGAGTTAAAAAATATTAAGACTTGAGTTGCAAATATCTTTTGGTATGAGTTAACAAAGATTTAAAGGTCTAGATGATCAAGATTTTTAATTCTTGATTGACCTGGAGGTTTGTTATGCTAAGACCATTGCTATACAAAGGACTTAAGTTTTGCTATACAAAGAACTAAAGTTTTGCTATACAAAGAACTAAAGTTTTGCTATACAAAGAACTAAAGGACTTAAGTTTTGCTATACAAAGAACTAAAGTTTTGCTATACAAAGAACTAAAGTTTTGCTATACAAAGAACTAAAGTTTTGCTATACAAAGAACTAAAGTTTTGCTGTACAAAGAACTAAAGTTTTGCTGTACAGAGAACCAAAGTTTTGCTATTCAAACACTAAAGGTCAGAAGTTACCAAATATTTCGCCAATATACTGTAAAATGCTATTTATGCTAATTTCAAGTGGATTGAACAAAATATTTAAGTATTTCTCGTTTTGTTCTTTCTTTCTTTAGTTTTTCTCCTGTTACCTTGTTTCCATTTTTACATCTAATTTTCTTTTCAGTAATCCAAATACCCTCTTTCATAAATCTTTTCACTTTTTTAAAAATTTTTTCTTTTATACTTGTTGCTTAATCTGCTGGGAAACCCACCTCGCTAAAATACTGTTTGTGTTTCTCGTGAAGTTTTTTATTTACCGAACTTTTTTTGTGTGAAACATCGTTTTCGATCGTAATTTAAGACCCGAAAATCTTTTCTTCTACAAAGTAAAAATTCTAGATATGACGACATCAATTTACAAACGGTTTTTATTTGAGTGTTTTATGATGTACTCTCATATATGGATATTTGAAGAAATAGTAAATTTAAAGAGTTTAAAATAGATCGAAAAACAAGAGTTCATTTTAATGTTAGAAATGTGAAGATAAAAAAACCAGTAGCATATCATTCAAAATTAATTTAAATATAAAAACACCAGTGGTCCTTGTTTCTTATTATCTATGATAACAGCTCTTCTAATATATCAGAGGTCGAATTTAAAGAATTTGAACCGCGGCGTAAAATTGAGACGCTGCTCAAATATGGTTGGTTCCACTTATAATGTTTCAAGATTTAAGCCTGTGCTTATTTGAAACCGGTTTTTTGAGACGCGCCTCAAATTCATTAAATTCGGACTCGGCTTAAACTAAATCTATAATATTATTAAACAGAGAATATATATATTTGCTCGCATTATACATTACAAAATACTTAATGTTTTTTAATGCAAAAATAAATTTGCTTTTTGTAATAAACTTTAACTGAGTAGCGCACCAAGAGAAAGAATAAAAATGATAGTCGGAGAAAGTTCAAGATTAAAAAATAGTTCCAAGATAGACCAGTAGGCCAGTCGATAGATTGAAGAGGGTATAGTTCGTATAATAGAGTAAAGAGATGGATTGATGGATTACTTGCCAAAAAAATTTTTATCCCAACCCCAGAAATTTCAAGCTTTGAATGTTGGATTTAGCAAAATTCATATTTTGAAAATTCCACGACTTCAGGTTGCAAAGATTAAAGGATTTAAAAATTAAGAGTTTGTGGTGAGTAATCAGTTCCTATATAGGTTATTCAATAAATAAGCAATAAACATAGGTTTTTAGAAAGATTTAAAAATATTATTTCTAGATTATCATAGGATAAATACTATATGTATTAATATAGTTCAGAGAATAGATAAGTTTTAAAGGGACTATAAAAAAAATTTAAAAAAACTTTATTTGTGATTATCAAAAAATGTAAATTTGAGAGAGTTGAGGCAAGTGACTAAGTTTTGTGAGAAATGTAGCTTGTAAACAACTACAAAACCGGCTAAGAAACTTAGTTAAAGGGAGTGTCCATTAAATTTGATAATATTTATGATCTTAATCTCGAGGCTTGGTTTATTCTAAGAGTATTTTAGTAAAATATTTTCCAAAATTAATTTAAATATAAAAACACCAGTGGTCCTTGTTTCTTATTATCTATGATTACAGCTCTTCTAATATATCAGAGGTTAAAAAAGATTAAAAAATAGTCACAAGATAGACCAGTAGGCCAGTCGATAGATTGAACTAGACTACTGTTATTGTGGTTACGTTTGCAGTTACGGGGTTTTCTAAAATTTCCTTTATTAAAACTGACTTATTTCAAAGTAATAATCTAATTTTGATTTGAAAATTAAATGTGTAGCCCAAAATAGAATTAGTGTACAGCTGCTTCAAAACGTTGATTTAAACGTGGCGCAACTAGTTTTTTAAAGAGGGGTTGCGGAGATATTATTGCGTTGTTGAGATATCATTATGTTGTGGAAATACTATTCTATTGTGGACCATGCAAATTTTATCATTTTTACCAATTTTCCATCAAAGCGCCATCAAAAGTTTGTTCCTGTAAACAATTACTGTACTGAATACTGAGTACAGACAGAATGAATCATAAACTAAGTATTCCCGATGACTATTGATGACTCATGAAAAATATCAAATAATGTTAAGTGGAAATAATATACGTATTTAATATTAAAGAAAAACAATTTTTTTTTAAATGAAATAAAAGATAAATAATATTTTTAGCAGAATGCCTAAAGTCTATATAAATCTAAATAGTTGCATATTTTGTGATTAAGAACAAAAAAATCAACTACAAAAAAGAAAAAAGTGAACCAAAAAAAATACAGATTTTTAATTTACTTTTTAACAAAATGATGTTGAGAACATGTTTGATAATGATTTTAAACTTATTAAAATTCATTCCCAACACGAAATATGAAGTATGCTTCTGGCGTGCTAATAAAAAGGATTACTTTATAATTTTATAAACTATCAACAAACCAAATTTTCAATTTGCAGTAGGGGTAAAACTATAGGCCGTTTCCTTTTTGGAAACAAATTTTTTTTCAAAAGTCGATTTTTATTCAAACTTCCATATGCAACGCCGGGCCCTTCTAGCTTATAATAAGAAATAAAGAATCAAGAGTATTCAGTGGTTCAATGCCAATATCGACAACTATAGGTTTTGATGAAATGAAAAAATCGACCTACCTAATGATTTATGATTGTTTATAAATTATAGCCTCGTGCTGAATATATACCTCTTTATATTTTCCAATATTTTCATGCTTTTTAGTTATGCTTAATTTTTGTTAAAAGAAATCAAATTTCATCATTAGTTCATAAATTCAGGTTAATTTTTTCTGCTTTTCCGAAATATTGTCTCAACAAATTGAGTAATAATTTCCTAGGTTTTACTTCATTTAACTTTCAAGAATTACTTTTCCGCATTTTTACTCGCAATTTTTTAATTAGCAAGACAAATAAAAGTATTTTTTGTTCCCAAAACTGGTTTTTTGTAAATATTTTGCATTCTTTTGAAAATTTGTGTTAACTTTACAATTAGTCTGCATAGTTTGATTTTATTCAATGAATTTATAACCCCAACCTGCACCTTATATCATCATTTGGGACTATCACGTCAAACTGCACGCAGACTTTAAATCTTATATGTTTGTTTTCAATAATAGCTTCTCTAATTAGGTAGCTATTAAGTAGAACAAAACCTTTTAGAATTTCTAATAAGCAAAAATATTTTGTGAGAAGATATTGTCATCTTGATGTTCTTGTTATTCTTGTTGTTCTTGTTATTCTTGTTGTTTTTGTTATTCTTGTTATTCTTGTTCTTCTTCTTGTTCTTGTTATTCTTGTTGTTCTTGTTGTTCTTGTTGTTCTTGTTGTTCTTGTTGTTCTTGTTGTTCTTGTTAATCTTGTTATTCTTGTTGTACTTGTTGTTCTTGTTGCTCTTGTTCTTCTTGTTGTTTTTGTTATTCTTGTTATTCTTGTTGTTCTTGTTGTTCTTGTTGTTCTTGTTATTCTTGTTGTTCTTATTATTCTTGTTATTCTTGTTATTCTTGTTATTCTTGTTATTCTTGTTNGTTCTTGTTGTTCTTGTTGTTCTTGTTGTTCTTGTTGTTCTTGTTGTTCTTGTTGTTCTTGTTGTTCTTGTTGTTCTTGTTGTTCTTGTTATTATTGTTATTCTTGTTGTTCTTGTTCTTCTTGTTGTTCTTGTTGTTCTTGTTGTTCTTGTTGTTCTTGTTATTCTTGTTCTTCTTGTTCTTCTAGTTGTTCTTGTTATTCTTGTTATTCTTGTTCTTCTTGTTCTTCTAGTTGTTCTTGTTATTCTTGTTATTCTTGTTGTTCTTGTGTGGAAAAGTTAGAAAAGTGCAAAAATTCTGTTAAAAATGTACATTCACATAGAACAATATTAATCCAGAATTCTTTCAATACTAGAAGATGTTTACTTTTCGCTCGGAAGCTTAATTTCCTCCAAAAAAGCTGAATCATTCCAAATTGTTGCCATACTTGCTGTAGCTGGATTTGAGAAAATAAATTTGCGGATTATTGAATAACAAGGGACGGATTTTCAATGTGAACTAATGAGGGAAAATATTTTTAGGTGAAAGTGTGCCATTTTTGACTAGATTAATTGTATCGAGTTTAATGTGTATACGGCCGCGTCTTTTGAACAGAAAGCAACTAGCGGATTTCTTCAAAAAAAATCACAGCGGCATAAATGGTCAATATCTTTCCAAATAAAACATAACAATATTTCTAAAATACGGTGCCAGATAAAAAAGATTGAAGAT